AGTAAGTAAACACTCTCATTTTCAGATTCCTGACATTCACGAATAAACAAGCATATTTATGAATGCCAGAGTACAACTCGCGATAAATTGACATGTTGTCTATCATAGGGTTGTGCTGTATTTCGATATTTTTTTCACGATAATTAAACTAAATTTATCAATTAAACTTTGATTGTACACGCGCGTAAACATATGGATGGTAACGTGCACGAACGCACGCACCCAATGCGGCGCCGCAAAACGCATTAATTCAATAATTTAATTTAATTAAACACGACGTTTACGGTTTACGACTAATTACGTACCTTAATTATAATTATCAATGAATGCCACACAGCGGCACGTAACACTGGAAGTTTACGATGTTACATTAAAAAATATATTTATTTCCACAGGCTTGGAAATAAACTATATATACAAAGTGCGTCAATTGCGACAATGCAAAAGATTTACTACCGATGAATGGACCATAAATTTTAACTGTCAACTTCATAATTGCTTTGACACCTATATTTCTAATGCGCAAAATATAAATAGGTATCGAGTAGTAAATATTGAGTATCACGGGGGCAAATAATTCTGCGTGTTATAGACATGTTATTTTTTACGCATTAATTTTGAGACCATAATTTTCTAAAATTTAACTTCCTGAACTACTTTCAGGGCCAAAAATAGTGTAAGCAAAAATAATTGTATTTAACCACCGTAAGACTTTATAAGTTACTTATTAGCATTAAACGGTTATTGCAGATACATTTTTTGACATTTAATCACGATTTTATTTAATTACTGAGCCAATTTCGTTAAAAAACAAACTTTTAAACTGTTGATTTTTTTTTGTTTTGAGCACGAAAAAGTTATTAAACTTTTATCGTCAGCACAAAAACTAATTTAATCAACATAATCAATAAAAATGGGAATTATCCTTAGAAAAAATCATCAACTAGCTAAAATAAAATATTTTTTATTTTCTGACCGCCAAATAAATAGCAAATTGATCTTGCGTGCACCTAAATGAAACGATCTTGTCATTTCCAATAAATATTTAACTTCAGCTGACAGAAACCTCCTGAGTGCAATCTTGCAGAATTGTTGATACTTCAATTAAATCGAATGTTTGATCGAGATATAAATAGCTAGACGATATAATTATACCCTGGCAGCACCGTTAGTAAACAATTCGATCAGGAATCGACTGGAATTAAACGTTCGTGCGTACATGCAAATTATAACAACAAAAAAAGCAACCGAATTAAATTACCAAGCCATGATTAAAACAAAATGCGAATGAAAAACAACGTTTTGTTATAAAAATAAAAACAATTTAACATAAACTGTCAAAATTTCATCGTGTAAAGTCCTGTAATTTTTCTCCACTTCAAAAAAATTAAATTCATTTAAATTTCAAGTTCCTTTAAATCCGCTTTGGCAAAATGTATCCACCGTGTAGACCATGCCCTACTCTGCCCACCATAGGCGGCATGTATTGTAATCGCCCTATTGCACCTAGGGCTGTTCAGCTCGGTTATTGTGATAGTCTGTTGGTTTATCCTGCTGCGTACGATTGCAATGGAGTGGTCACAAATCCCAACTTGCCCATGTTGCTCTCGAAACGCAGTATTTGTTGTTGTGTAAGTAAAAATATGAATTATGAAATTAAAATTTGCATAAAATTGTGATTTTTATTATATCATAATTTCGGTTATTTTTTTTGCAGCCAAAGCAAGTCATTCTTGTAGAGCCATGATAAATTCGTAATCGAGGCACGTCACGATTGAAGCTACTGAACAAATTCAAGCATAAGAAGAATCCAAGGAAGGTCAAAAATTCATATTACACTAATTACGGAAAAAATGTGCAAAGTTGAAGAAATGTATTGTGAAACTAGTTGCGTATGGTTTTGTCAAGTGTTGTTTTATTTGTATCTGTAAAGTGTAATGTCCAAATAAACATAAACCAAAACCCATTATGATTAGTTAATATCAGCAAATTTTTATCTCTAACTGAATACTAAAAAATTAAATTGCTTTTCCAGCAAATTTTTATCTCTAACTGAATACTAATTGAATTTAATTCAATTTTTGATATTAAGATCTAATAATACTCAACACAATCGAAGAAACTTTTTTTCTGTATTTTGCCTTCAAATATCACGATATTTCAAAGTTTTTCAGCTTTTCTAAAAAAAAAAGTTCACCACTTTTTGAACTTAATACGATCAACTACATTTTTTAAAGCATAGTAAATAAAATATATGATATCACCGATCGTTCCTTTCTTGTATTCTTGCATGACTCGCAGATTTTCAACGTGAAGAGTACGCTGATTAAAATTTTAATTGCAAAGAACAGTAATTAATCGTGTTTCGTATGTCGATGCATTGTTTTATGGCCAGGCCGCAGCGGCAAACAACGTCAAACGCGCGCGATATTACAATATCGGAGAGACGAAACGAAACGCGAAGGTGTTACTGACCGTGAATACAAATCCATCCACGATTGACGTCAATCGTGCCACCAACACGCGCGTACAAGACAAAAATACAACAAGACAAGACAAGATACAAGACAACTAAAGTACACCAGACACAAGAATAAGCCAAACAAGAAGACAATCAAAAACTAAATAAAATTATTTTTTAATGATAATGATTGTGTTTGTTCGATAGATAGAAGACATCGACTAGTCTTTGAACTAGAGCGCCTGCGCACTAGCCCACAAAAACAAATTTTCCATTTTGTTATAATTATTGTAGACATTTGGTGTAAAACAGGTTCATTTGCGCCTCCATCTACATTTACAATTCACATCTACTTCCCACTCGAAAGAAACAAAAGTACTTATTTATATATACACCATGTTACTGGCAGTACAGGACAAACATCACTGGCATGATTGGCATAATGAGCACGGACCAGAAGTACAATAAATGGCAAATGCGCCAATATGCCAATAAAATCAACAAATTGCCGCCTGTCGGTTCGCACGCCAATAAAATAATATGTCGCATGCATAATTCATAAACTAACGCGCGATGCTTGTGTTTTGTCCTGTTGTTTACCACAGACAAATCTCCACGTTGACGATTGTGATTGTTTGACATTACAACTTTTATTTTTGAATACATAAAATTAAACAAACTTTACTTTTGCGTAAAACGAAATAATCTCATAATATCTCTCATGATTAACATTAAATAAATAAAGAACAATCACACGAATGACTCGCACGGTTAAATTTAATTTGTGAGTCATTCGCGTGGTTGGAATCAGGTGAAATTATAAAATTGAAATCATTTGATCCGAGGCGCGCGCGCGCGAAAAAAAACTTCTTTAAGTTAACTTTAACCAACTGATTTCGCGGCATTGACGTCAATAGCACCTAATTAATCCACAATCCAGTGGCTAGTCACTTCGCTGCCAAATTAAACACTATAAATTATGTCACGATCGCAAATTGCAATAAATTTTGTTTTCACATTAAACAGACAACGTGTAATTCAAGTATCATAAATTTAAATACACGCTGGATTACACAAATTTTAATTATCATACTTATTACTTAAAATAAATAATCATTGCTGGAAATGCGAGTAGTTTATTGTTCGTCGCGTCCAGTCCAGTATATTCCTGTTTACGTCAATCAAATAAATTTAAATTCACAGAGCATCACTTTGTCGGAGCGTGTTCTCGGGGCAAATTCGCTCTATCTTTTTGATTAATTAATTATCACGCAGCCAAATTTTATTTTTTGAATATTTTGTAGGAAAATTACACCAAGACATTTCGTAAACATTTTAATTAAGTTCAATTAATAATAAAATTAGCGCGTGCAGACAATTAATTACAGCGAGTTATTATTAACTATATTTAGCGATTGAATTAAAACTGTTACAGGATGTCCGGATAAATTTTTAAATTGCCCTTGCAGCAACCCTTGAATTGCAAAATGTAAACCGCATGTTAATCCTCCGCAACCTCCGTGAATTATCCTTCCAACCGACGCCTACAACTCTTGCATTCTAATCAAGTTAATTGCAAAATGTGTCCAATTCGAAACGTTGAAAAAGCCACAAGTGCACATTGCACACACACCGTCGTCAACCAGCGTAATGTGTAAAATGTAAAGCAGTATTTAGAGTTTAGAGGTTTAAGTAAAGTGGTAGAAGTAAAGTAGAAGTAAGCAAGTTACTCATGTGCGGTATGTGCCGCTGCGGGCGTGTGTGCGTGATTGACGTCAATGGTGACCTCCGCCGGTTTCGTTTTGTGCTGGATAGGCGGACGACGAAAGCGACCACGGCGACGACGCCGCTGCCTGCCGCCCCGCCGCCAGCCACAAGCCATGCACTTTTCGCGCTCTATCGGTGGCCCAAATTCGAACGCGCATCACGAAGTGCAGCGATGCCACCGCGAGGCTAAACCGCATTACATATATCAAATTGCACTCACGCACTTCGATCATCGATCATATTCCACTTAGAAAACCCGGCGATTGGTTACAACTTCAACGCAATTCATATTGATAGTAATCCAATTCATCTCTCATATTAATAAGAGTATTTAACACTTGAGACAAATTTAAATTTATAAATGTTTCCGCTCGTTAGCAATATAATCTATTCCAAAATAAACATTGTTGAGTCAAACAGGCTCACAACCACCTTGAAATTCAATTTGATACGCTTTAAAATAATGTTTTTCAACGCGGAACTTTACAGCGATATTAAACTATTTCCATACGCACGTGTTATTGTTTAATTTCGTCGATAAATATAAGAAATTTAAATTTAGAAATTTACTAACCTTGTCGTTGTTCGTTGTCGGCGAGAAATTCGATGAATTCTTCGATGTCGAGTTGGAATTTGGATTGGAATCTTTGTTGGATGTGCTTCTTGTTGACACAAACTATAAAAAAAAGAAACATAAATATCGTTCAATACCAACACAACTCTTAAAATAATTTCAGGATCTCAGTAAATTTATTTTACATTAAAAAGGAAATATTTAAAAAATCTTTTATTGATTTCAAGTCGTTACATTAATGAATTATGAATGGATACAAATATTAAAATTTAAAAATCAGTCCATTACTCAGTCGTCAGTTACAAAATAAAAGACATTACACTAAAACTACACCCTGGCTTGAATCAATCTAAAATCCTCGACTTCCACGGAAGAATCGAGTACGTCATGGTGTGGGCGTCTATTTTGTGGTCTAAGCCCCAACGCCCGATGAACCAAGCCGGATTTAAACAAAACATTGCCACAAATAAAGATCAAAACAAAAATAAACAAGCAGACAATAATGGTTCTCAAGCTATGAATCGCTTCCAAAACTTTATGATTATTCGCAGCCATCGTCCTCAGAAACTCATCCTTTAATGAAGGTCCTGCATCATGTCCATGTGGGATGTCCTTAGCTGGAAAAATATCAGCAGGTCCCTGTGGGTCACCATGAGTCTTATCAAACAAAGTCAAATCTTCATCAAATCTCCCAATGCAATCAATACCATCAACATTGTAGTTTGTATAATTCATTACATTGTGGAAGAAATGGAACCTTGCAAAATCCTCAACCATCCTTTCCAAAAACGCGCAATGAAATTTGTTACCGTGGATGAACAGAAGTGCCATATTGGGAGCCATTGCCTTCAGTTTAGGAACATCCAAGTATTCCAGGTTGTTATAACTGAGATCCAGACGAGTGAAGGATTGGTAAGTAATGTTGGGTTTAAACTTTATAAACTCGAGGCGATTGTAGGTCAAGTTCAAATTAATCAGCGTGGAAGCCAGTGACCATTGAACAAAATCGACTTCAACTAGTAGATTATTGGTTAAATTTAAAAACTGGAGTTTTGGAAAGTTGTCAAAGGCGTTCTCCTCTACAGTTTGGATCACATTCGTGGATAAGTCCAAGGTGTGCAGAACCTTCAGATAGCCAAACATGTCGGTACCCAAGCGATGAACAAAATTCTTCGTTAAATTTAGGACTTTCAGATGGACCATTCCGGCTAAAGCACCTGGTGGAATAGTAGTAATACTATTCTCTGATAAATCCAAAGTTCCCATACAGTATAAATCATTAAAGGTTCCATTGATGACAGTCCGAATACCCAGGTTGGAGAGATCCATGCGTACAATGTAACCAGCGTCCGTGGTGTTGAATTCATTCATTCCTAATTTTGTTTGAGGCAGGCGCTTGATGCGCACCCAGTTGGTTTCAGCATTAACGACGACATTAAAAGTCCTATTATTATTTCTATAGTCAGACAAGTTGCGAAAAACTCGCCACGTGGGATGCTCCAGTTCATTGCATTGCAGCTGGTTTGAAAACGCAATGGTGGCGAATAAAATCGTCGTGTAGAGTGCGACTGTAGGCAACCAGTTCGACATGACTGTATTGTAAGTTGCCTATGTTAAAACAATATAATTTGATAAATCTGTTCGAAAAACTGTTGATATTGCTGCTAAGGAGTAACTTACCGTTTCCTGATGATAATATTTCGCTCACTCACTGCTGTGCGCGTTAATTGTGCACGAAATCAATTCATGGGAGTGATGAGATTCAATAGAAATTAAATTCGCCAACTTACATGTGCCCGACCACGTGTTTCTAGTAGTTTTTTTTCCGGTCGCGTGTTCAACTAATACGAGTTTTTAATTTTTAATTCTAGCGTTTTAACATTTCACGAATACGATGTGTACTTACGACTGATTTATACTAAACGTGATCACAATGCGTTTGACGAGTCGAAGCTCATCGCAAAGTTCAATACGTCGAGAGACAATCTCGCATCGCGTAATTACTTTTTACTTTTGTGAACAACTCGCGCGCGTGCCTTGCAATTACCTAATTTTCGCCGATTATTAATTATTAGGTGCGTAGAGGACTGAATTTTTCGGATACTGGCACGAAGTGCACGAATTTGCTGATGAATCAAATGTGATTCCAAGTATTAATTTTTTTTGCTCTATGTTTGTCCGCGCGCACCACGCCTCGTAAAATAAAATAACTTCTGCAAGGCGAGTCGAAAGTAAGCACACGCTGCGCGAGAAGAAGTGAATTATTGCGCGTTTCGCATGCGTGTGCCAGGCGAACTTCAGATAAAACCTTATTATCTATCCGCATGCACATTTGCAAAATTGCAAATAATGTAAACATAAAGTAAATATCGTAATGCGAATACAAATTTACGGAATTTAACCACGGAAAACTGATTTGCATAATTCTCGTGCCAACAATATATCTAAATATTTAAGTAAATATTATAATCACTATCATGATGTGATTGACGATCGTCCGCTAATTTGATTTATTTGAACCACATTTCTGGGTATTTAGAGTGTGGATAATTACGACTAATTTAGACAAAATAAACTATAAAATCTATTGTTGCATAATTTTAAATTCGCGTTTAATTGCTTTTCATTGTACGATTTTATTGTAATTGCGGACCGCCGAGCAATTTATTGCCAGAATGCTAATTTTCTAATTTAAATTAGCTGATGGGTACTTTGCCGCATTCTTACGTTTGATCAGGCGGTCCTACTACAATGTAAATAATTGTATAATTGACGAACCAACAACAAATTTCAATTAATGATTAGCAATTTCAAAATAATAAATGAATAATATCAGTGTAAGTTTTTTGTACAACTTTTGGTTCAATTTCCTTGAAACCACGTCAATATTGTTAATTATTTTTATCGAAATCAGAAATCATAGAAAATTTTGCATCAAAGGCAAATTTCTTTCATTTTCAGAAGTTTTTATTGTGTGGAAAGCGGATTGGAGTTTTAAAAAGCCATCTACTGATTACTATGCGTCTTTATACCGCGGAAATAAACGCGAATTTATTGAAAAAAAAAACAACTTTTTGAGACTTAAATAAATAAATATAAATTTAAAACACAGATACTGATAAATTTATCACCAAGTGATCAAAATCATCTGTGGCATACTAAGTACTCTTAAAATAAAATTATAAAAACAATTCCAATTATTTAAAATAAAATAAACTTGTGGTCCTGCACCAAGAACTCATGATTGCCCCGACTTAATGCCTTCAATAATCATAATTATCAGCAATTACTACGTGTTCTATAAATAACTCGCTACAACTCGTCAATCAATCAATTTCGAATGAGTAAAGTATACACAACAACAAAAATGCATACATCAGACCTTTGGAAGTTATATTTGCTGCTCCTGATTGCATATTTCTATACGAATGCGAATCTGCATCTAAATATTAATTGTTTGCAGACGCACAGGACAACGCAAATAATTCAACATTGCGATTCGATCCAAAAAAGCCCACTGATTGTGACTGACGGGAGCAATTGAATAAATTACAACTGTAAATTCGCATATTCGTCAGTCGGCACACGAGCTACAGCTCAAGTTGATGAATTGATGTTAAATATTTTAAACGAATGCTGAATTAATCTGCGAGACCGACCAATAAAAAATGATCTACATCAAGAAGTCACATGTTTTCCTAATTTTAAACACTTAATACTATTACGTTGATAATAATTGCTCAAATTTGAATTCAAACAATCAAATACAAGTAAATAAAAGTAAATAAAATCTACATAAATAAAAGCTTTAAAGATTTCTGCCAAACGAACAAAGACTTTTCAAAAATGTAGGTAACTTCATTAAAATCGCATAAATTAAGCTTCATTTTTATTTTAGCACTTTATCGCAATATAACAAATGACCTCCATTTGTCACCAACAACAAGCCACTCTGTTAAGGTGTCACATCTTACAACGCGCAATAAATTTCTCCTTAATAATAAAATTTTATAGAACTATAATAATTAATTGCCATTTAAATTCGCAAATCATTTTAATCGTTTATCGAGCGATAAACGAACAATGGATCGCAAATCCATATGCGTAGTGCAAAAATAAAATTTAATCCAGTCGCATAAAAAATGAACCAGATAAATTAAATTTAATCAGTTATCAACTCACTGTTTTTATGAAGCAGTCCAGCAATTGGGGGCCGTCCGCATCGTCGGCGTGATTGCCTCCTTGGTTTTTACTGTTTTTCGATTGTTTGTCCTGTTCCTCCTGTAACAACGAACAATGCATCGTTAAAATTATCTAGAATTCGATAGCCAGAGGGTAATAAGCGTGAAATTCGCAAACAATACTCATTTGAACACACAAAACATAGAAAATCAACTTTTAACGCTATGTAAAAGTGTTATTTATACAACAAGGCAATAAAGTTAAATTTTTTAAGTAAAAAACCGTAAAATTACATTATTTTTTTAAGTCGTATTTTCTCCATTTTCGTTTTTTACCTTTAATGGTCAAAAGGTAATGATTTTAACCTTTTTGGCAAAAATATTAAATAAACAAAAAAGGCGTGTGAGATAATAAAACGACGGATAACATCTCTGGAGTTAATTCGGACTTCTCCAAAAATATTACCCAGTTTTTTTTTTCATTTTAACATTTCGACATTGAAAATCATAAAAACGGAGCGTTCCGCTGCAGTAACTTTTATATTTACGCTTTTTATAAATATGCAAACAAAATTAACGAAAATTATGATTTTACTAGAAAGAAAGTATCAATATTTATAAATCAGTAACCATCGATGATGATGAAACTAAACTCTATGTAGCCGCAATGTGTGGCCAAGTATCTATCCTGAATCATTTTTAATTATTATAATTTATTTGCCGCGATGAATATTCATCCAGTGATTTACACACCAACAAAAAGTATTCCGCATCCATCATGTGCATACGCGATCCGACATTATGTATTTATGTAAGGTTTGTCGCTCGCTTGCGGTCTGCGTTTGACGTCAATGATTTAATCATTTTTTGCGGGCGCCCGCCTTTAAACAATTCCCACGTTTGCTTGTGTAGGCCTGCAGCCAGCCATTCGTCTCGTTTACATATAATATATTCGTCCGTATCAATATATATATTGTACTTGGACGATAATTAAAAGCACATTACATGCAAATATCACAGGATTTATTTTGCATTAAACTTCTTTATGAGCATATGATTAATTACTATAATTAGGAACCGTGCGGATGTTTTTCTGCTGAGCCCGCAGAACGAACGCTAATTGAAATGTTTAAAATTAAAAGCTTGTTGAGATTTGAATGACTTTGACTATTTGCCGAAACAATTCGCACGTTTTCTACTAACATGCAATGAACATAAATAAATGTGTGTATAACTAACGTTCGAGTATCCAAATATCCAAATATTAAATATTTGCGTTAAGAATTTGTAGCGTATATGAATAAACAACAAAAAATACAACTTAATATTTAATGAATAAATACTTCCTTGCTTCAAAACATTAATTAAAATCTCCTAACACGAGCAGCAAATTTACATTTTGCAGAAGAAGAAAAAAATAAGTGCAAATGAATGGAATAACGTCAGAATAAATAATTGCGCTCAACAACAATAATTTTCTTGTTATTCTGGTAAACAATTGTGCGTGCATACGCAATACAAGCACTTATAAAAGCGTAATTTGCGCAGATACTAATGTGAATGCACTGCACACTGAAACTGAGAAACAGTAAAACAATGTGTAATGATTGTCTACGACAGTTCTACGCACGGAGAACCGCAAAGTGCATTGCATTGTGCACCAACTTGCGCGACTATAAATAAACAACGCGCTGAATTTTATCGGATGCATATCATGCAGTAATTGTTAGAAGGCCTTCGGGACCTGCATTCGTCGATTAATATTCACTAGATTTAAATTCAAATTAAATGTTGATTGAATTGTGTTCGGATGGATGCACACGCGAATAACAACAACAACATATAATAATATAGTGCGCTCAATAAAGGGTTAGTTATTTATATTTTATTGTTAAATTAAGTGTAAATTACTGTGGAATATTTTTATTCAAATAAATGTTTTGGCTGCCTTTCTAACCTAAAATAATCACATCTTTAGAATGTGAATTCACTAAACTTTACGAAACAAAAGAACAATGTATTGAAATATTTTCTTACTTCATTGGCGATAGAGTTCAAAAAGAACGACGACGAATAAGTCGTCGGTGGAAAATGTGTCTGCATATCCGCCATTCTTTTCATTTTCACTCAACACTTCACTTTGCACAAAAACACCGCACAAATCTTATCAAAACAGTAGAAAAATCTTTTGCAGGTTATGATTTATGCTTAATGTGAACTTAAAGTTTATTCTAAATATTGACATGAATGAAAACACTACTGGCACGAATATCCTTAATCCTGAAATGCCATGTGAGGAATTTTTGGCGTTCGGTTGGCGCGTGTAGATACAGAGCACACGCTGTTTACGCGATTACTGCCGATTACAAACTCCTGCTGGCGTACGCGACGCGCGAACGACACGACCGCCTCACTAGAGAATCGCGTCGCCTGCGACCTGCGTTGCCGACAGTGCAGGAACCGCAGGAATTCATGCACATGCAACACGATGCGGGAGTACTGACTCCGTACGGTTGATTCAGTTACATGCATATGATGTGTCTGTGTGTGACTTGCACTTTGTCATTTGTAAAAAGTTACAAATCGTAAAACACGACATTATGAGTGTTATAAACATAGCAAACATGACTAAATTATACATTCATATAAAGCATATACTGAAAATAGTTGTTTGTGTGCAATATTAAACATTCCTCTAGATACTTAGATGATAATGAAGCTAAAAAAAACTAGTACTGATTGTTAACGACCTAGAGATTTTTATAACTTGATTTATATACACAAATTACGTCACATTTTACAAACTACGTCAATTGTTCTCAACTGGTACTCAACACTTTGCCTAATTTGAATAGATATTTGTTTAATTTTATCGTTTTATGCTATTTTCTGTTTGCTGTTCAAATCTTTGCACGCAAACCGTGCCCAAACCGTCAAAATAAAGTAAACAAATCGTATCACACGTTTATTGGTTTGTTTGTTTGAAAGAAAATGTTGATTTCCTTTTGGGTTTTGCTATGTTTGAAAATTTGGGTGGGGAGTGAAAATTCACTGACGTCTAGATTCCGTGCTAGCTACATTCATGAACTTACATCAATAAAGCTCTTCCTGCTACTGCCAGCAGTGAAAACCTGTTGAGAATTCAGTACACAAAATGTTACTCTTTACATTGTTAACATTTTCACTGGCAATAAATGGAATCTACACTGAGAATGTACTCACAACAGAGGTGTTTGAGATTGAGATCAATCCAGACATGTTTAACTGGACTTTTGAAGGTATAAAAGCACACAAAGCATTCTCATTATTCTAATCTGAATATTTATAGGAATAAGAGGTCAATATGTCTATCAACCCTCATTAAAAGATGCTCCGGACCTTCCAAAGTGGATAAATTACATCTATAGCCATAAACACAACTCTGGGTTTCTTTATGGTGTGCCACCAAACAAAATGGGTCATGTCAATCTTGATGTGGTGGCTCTAAATAGAAAAACCTATGAAACCAGGAAGCATATTCTACCTATTCATATAACTGAAAAGTTAAAACCAGCCAAGTATGAAGTGCAGCTGAAGATTGACAACTTAAATGTTGATGATATGTTTGATTTGGAAAGAATGGATAGACTTAAAGATGTGTTTCGAAAGAAACTATGGAAGGATAGTGATGATGATTTGTATGTGACTTTCCTAGCATCAGCTATTGAATTAGGAGCAAGATTACCAGTGAATCCCACTGAAGGCGAAGGAGTTGTTTTGAGGATTGGCAGCAGGGCTCCACTCAGTAATGAATTAATAGAATTACAAGAGGAGGTTAAACCACTGTGGAAAGTTCCAAGTTGTCCGAGGGATTTTAAAAGGACAACTGTTGAGAGATACTTTAGGGATGCAGGATTTAATTTGGATTGGTGTGCATTTAGACTTGTAAGTTTTCTAAAACTAATGTTTGTGATATTATTTTATGATTTTTTTAGATTATTTCTTTTCTAACAATTAATTTAATATCATATTATTATTTTGGTAAGTTTTTTGATCAAAAATGAAAGAATATGACTTTAAAAACAATTTTTACTTTGTAGTTGGAAGATAATAGCTCTGCCATGCAACATTCAAGAGCAAATATTGAGAATCACTCGAATGTGAACACAGATAAACTCATTCAAGACCACTGGGAGACTTTGTACATTGATGAAGTACCAGAAAGATCCTACAAGCATGAATTCTTGTTCACTATACTAGTGCCCATGTTCATCATGACTCTACTAGCGCTTATATTATCATTGATACTGTGTTTCCACAATGAAGGAATGTAAGTATTATTTCGAAATCTCATCAAGTTTTGTTCTGTTATTTTATTTGTTCACTGTTATTATTATAGGAATGATCCAATGAGTGAAGAATATTTTGCCAACATTTTTCATTTGTGTACTGATTCTGATAGGTAATTGTTTGCTAGTTAAACGATTCACTAACAAAGTGTTTGAATGCATTGCCGAGTGCTTTTTTTTAACTTTACTATTTATAATTTAATCTTTATATCTGATTCCTATATACATACTTTTACATTTTTTAGTGTAAAAGATGAACCGCAGGAAGAGCAAAACGAAACTCTGCACAACAATTTCAACAATTTTGAAACCATTCAGAAAGCGACGAATTCTCTGCGTAATTATTCAACGCCGCGTGATTTTATCTGCATGTCCCCGGAATCTACACATATGTCGTACACGAATAGCCCAACGAATACGTTGAATAAAGGCCACCATTGCCGCCCCAGCCCACCGCCCTATGTACGCCCCAAGTACAAACCGGAGTTTTGACCTGAGGTCGAAGCCGGCGAGACCAGATATTGCTAAATAACGAATGAAATATTCTAGGAATAGTTGTAGCCGGCTTCTAACATTTTATAACACACATTAATAATTGTAGACAGTGTAGCAGACAATATAATGGACTTATTGAGTTGTTTAACTGTTATTTTATAAAATTGAAGTCTTTAAATGTTTAATAAATCATTGTTTACTGTGTAGGGACAAGTATTGTGTGTAAACATAATAAAATATAATCTAAATATATTACCTTTCTAATTAAATTTGTAATCTTCAAGTTTGGGAGGTATTAATCAATCAACTTTTAAAATGGCGCTATTTAGAGAAAATTGAACAAATATGGTGTACCCTGTTGAAGAGCATCTTTGAACCTAGTGATTTTCTAGTGATATTTAGAGATACCTAGTAACATTGTATAAAATTTGCTGCGCATGTGCACAGTGCATCGCCCCGAATGACCGCGTACGTCAAACTCGCACGAAACCAAACACTCATCAATTGTTATTATGGTAATGAATCCACGGTGCGTGTGTAATTAATCCGGCTCACGAATTGCTCAACAACGAAACATCGTCGGTGAGACACGCGAGTTGCGAATAAAGTCGATCGCGCGTTCGTGATGATACATCGTCTGTGAAATATTACATCGCGCTGTCAGAATAAATCGGTTTGTCAGCTCCAGACATTTGAGTCATCAACAACAAAGGCATATTAAGCTGAAGAGTGTGAACGGTGGTATCATCCCGCATGATTATTCCTAACGTGGATTAACGCACGATACTGGTAAAATGCCGCCACCGCCACACAGGAGAGAGCATCATCGCCGTCAACCGTACAATTTCTCTTATGTCAGTTCCTGCTACAAGTATTTGATATTCCTGCTGAATTTTATCTTCTGGGTGAGTGAAAGTGTAAAATTACAATCAACAAGTCATAATCTATTTGTTTCCTTTCAGCTATGTGGAGGTCTGCTGATTGGTATTGGAGTTTATGCATTTATAGACAAATGGCAGCTGACTGGCTCAGTAAAACTTGAAAATGTCTATGATGTTATCCTTAACATCTCACTGGTGATGATTATCATGGGTGGTGTCATTTTCACGGTCAGTTTTGCTGGCTGTGTTGGTGCACTGAGAGAAAACACTTGCCTACTCAAACTTGTAAGACATTCCAATTTGAAAAGTAAATATTTATATTAATCATTCCTGTTATTTTTAGTACTCATTATGTCTACTTGTGTTCTTCCTGCTTGAGATGGGCATTGCCATCATTGGTTTTGTATTCCCACAATCAATGCAGTCCATGTTAGAAGAAAACTTCACTGATAAAATCATTCACACATATCGCGACGATCCCGATCTGCAGAATTTCATTGATTTTGCTCAACAGGAAGTAAGTATTATTATAGTTATAATAGAGTAAACAATTATAATTTGTTTTTATGTTTTTTCCTCTGTAGTTCCGGTGTTGTGGATTAAGTTCTGAAGGCTACATTGATTGGTCGAAAAATGAGTACTTCAACTGTTCATCACCGAGCGTAGAGCGTTGCGGTGTGCCGTTCTCATGCTGCATCAACGCGACCGACATCAGTTCCGGTTTATTGAACATTATGTGCGGCTACGGTGTACAAACTCTACCGGTGAGTAACTGTAACACAATCAACACCAACTTTCACCAATCACATTCTCTATGCAAACATTGTTTTTTAATTTCAGGTGGCTGAGGCAAGTAAAAAAGTGTGGACGTCCGGCTGTATTGAGATTGTACGCTCGTGGGCTGAGCGTAATCTGTACACGATAGCAATCATCGCGCTGTCAACCGCTCTAGCACAGCTCTTCGTAATCTACCTGGCAAAAACACTCGAGGGCCAGATCGATCTGCAGAAGTCGCGGTGGTCCAGTTGAAATATCGGGTACGAGGCGCTGCCGCTGTGCTACGAGCCCAGGGTGCTTTTGTAAGTGTACATATTTCACAGTCGACCCGGCGCATATGTTAAACTAGAAACCAGACACACGCGTTCGCCAATATTTCAAATTATTCTCGATGAGAATGAAAATACAACAAAAAACGCCAAATCTTATAATTATTTTAGTTAGATAGGCTACTTACTTGTGCGTCTGCTGCGCATTTTATACTTTACACTCAAGTTTTCTGATTTTGATACTTTTAAGATTTTTTCGAATAAGAATTTTAAACGAATCGTAATAAACGTAAATTGTTGTGTTCGGTATAAAAATTCAACATTCCGTGCCAAAAAATTAGTGAATCGACACAGAAACATAAGCATAAAACAAAGGAGACATATGATCAATGAAATAAGCTACCAAATAAATGATAAATAAGTATTTAAACAAATTTAAATATAAAAACTACAAAAAATTGAGATATAAATGAATTTTCGATATTTTTATATCGATTAGGGGCTAGAATATTTTATTCAATTGAAATAATAATAATTTCCGAATAGACTTTTTTATGATTCCAATAAATAATTAAAGAAATTACGTAAGAAAGCGTCTATAGCTGATAATCTGTAGCATTTTTCAGCAAGAAACTTTTTATACTAATTTTACGCTCTCATGTATACTCATGTGTAATCTCTAATCATCACTTAATGTGTATATATATTTTCGACTTGGACAACGCAAGCGCCATGGTATTATTATTACTACTATTATTGTCGTTATGAATTTTTGGTTGTATCCGATTGTGATTTCTGTGAGCATGCAATATCTTGTATTCTTTGTCTCATCCCCGAAATATCAAATGTCATTTCATGATAATAAATATAATCAAACGAGATTTACGAATTTTTATTTTATGCAATCACTTTCATAAATTATTAAATACCATAAAAAATGATTACCACTTACTTGTTTCGTCGGCTTCTGCGTTTGGCCCGCACACATTAAAGAATTTATTAAATAACTAATCAGCAAATAGGGTTTTCAAGTCGACTACTCGGGACTTGATCTCGGGTTGATGGTCTTTTGAAATTTCCTCCAGGAGGGAGTTGAATGAAGCCGACACTTTGGTGAAATGCTTTTTATCTTGTTGATCTAGTGAATATATGATATAAAATATCATGAAAATAAGAATTTGGTTATGTTTTTACCTTTTGTCTTTTTTCCCAGAGAATTGAAGACATTCAGTGCCTCTTTTCGCAATCTTGTATGTTTTGCAATGCCTGTAAACAACAACAAACAGTTTCGAATGGTTTTCAGTCAACCAAAATAAAATATGAGGTTAAAACCAACAGCACTTTGTAAATATTACACTCCATTAACAAATTACTCACCTAAACTATAAGTCAATGCAATGAGCAGATTATCAATAATCTTCTGTAAGTTAGAATCCTCTTCTGAAGTCAAAACTTCCTGCTCCAACAACACCAACTTATCCACATAGTTACACAATGCCCCAACAATAGCAACTTGAATAGTTCTTGTCGTGAGCGGTAGAGTCGTAACACAATGCTCAACAAACATATCATTAAACTTCTCCTGTGTCACCTTCGCATCTTTGGGCCATGATTTACCCAACAAATCATAAACCGTTTCTTTTAGTTTCAATTGATTTTCGCGATTTGAGTTTATCTCTTCTTTGCTAACATCATCTTCGTCCTCCACCGACCCGGGACTGCCTGTTAACGTGGCTTCAACAATAGAGTGAACTTCTTCAAATTTGTCAATCTCCATTGCTAATAAAACATTTCCCAAAGCCTCCAGTGCTTTAGTTTTGTACACAATCTCTTCTTTTTTGCTTTCTCTGATTATCGCGTCAATTATTATGTTTATATCAAGATCCGGATCGGTTTTAATCGATTCTCTAATAATACAAATAAAAATAATTTATAGGATATGTTATAGGTTATGTTGTATTTCTGGTTAAACTTACTTGCAATTACTGCAGATACTCGCCAAAGCATTCAATAGCTTATCTTTTCCACTCCATGTGCGTCCACTTAAACCATTAACCAATATTGATACCAAGTTATTCCTATGCTTAGCATCCATCGTTGTTCCTAGTTTATTAGCAATAGTACTGACAGAATTCGCCGCTTGCGCCTTCATATTCCATGAAGGACTCTCCAAAGCAGTCTGTAGAATTTTACAGATATTCTCTAAATTCTGCCTGATGCCAGTTTCGCTACCCGGGCTTTGTTCAGCCCAAATTTCATTCCAAATCTCAAGCGTATTTTGTGTCTCAGATGTTTTATCAGCGTGCATTGCGAAGAAAACCAACGGAAGTACCACATCCGAAAAGTTCTTTAAAACCTCCTGATTCTGATTTCCAATAGATTGTATTGTCAATGCGCATGCTGACCGAATCGTGTCATCCTCCCTTTCAAAATACCAATGTTGAATTTTATCGAAAAGTTTTACCAAACTTGATTCTTTGGCGGTTTTTACAATATGCCCGATTGCCAGTGCGTAATGTTTGCGAATCGATGAATTTCTATCAGTCAAACCATTTACCAAAGCAGCTAGGAATTTACCAGTGTATGGTTGTAAATCCTGACCGAGCTGGAGTGTTAATAGTGTGACAAAATGCGCGCATGCAACACGTGTCCCCAGACCAATATTCCCCTTCATTAACTCTACTACTCTCGGTGTTAGTTCTTCCATAATGGACGCATCCGCGTATTGTATGCATTTTGATACTGTCTCGGTTGTAAAGTGACTTTTTGCCATTGATGCACGCGCAGAATCTACTACGTCTTGAACTTGACTTTGCGCACCGTACATTGTACTCAAATATGACAATTTCGCAGATTCCAATTCACCGGTGGCTTGTAGTAAAGCCGGAATGAGTTTGGGGAGAAAAGGTTTAAGTTGCTTACCAGCCGCGCCTACTAATTCAGAGATAGTTTGAAGTGATATTAGACGCACTTCTTGTACAGCGTTGATGATGCCGTTGTTTAGGAGAACTGGTAGAATAGAATCCATCATCTTCGTGGCGGATTTACCTTGAGATAGATCACAACCACGAATGCACAACTAAAATAAGAAGAAGAAAAAACAAACATTTTTTTAAACGGTTTTTAGAAATTTTTTTTCTTACTTTGCTTAATGTCCTCGTAGTTTTCCCAGCAACAATCCGTGTTTGTTCATGATGATCATCCATAACTCTAAACAATTTACTCCAGAGTTCTTCCATGTAATCCACAGAATCATGAATAGAACGATTACCAGCTCCCTTGAGGAAATCTTGTAACGCAGCACAGCAACTCTGCCTAACTCTATATTGATTTGAGTTTATATTGGCGAGCAGTTCTTTAAGTATCTCATGATGATATAAATCTAACTAAAAAACATAACCCCATTTAAATAACTTGAAAATGAGGATAAATAAGGTTAGAATTACCATTTTTGTTGGTTCTTGCACTAATACATGCCAAATATTCTGCATAGATGCTTGTAGATTCGGCGATGGATCATATTGATACCTGTATAACTTAGGAATAATGTTGGGTAAATGTTGTGTTAGATGTTCCCCGCATTTTTTAGCAATGGACCCGAACCCAAAAGCAGCTCCCTTCTTCGAATTCCACATGGAATTGTGATTCGCCAAATGCATAAACTGATAAATCAAATCGGGTTTGTTTAACTCAGAAGCTAAACTACACAACTCTTTATAAGTTGATAAATTTCCTCCAGTAGGACTTTTGCCCAATTGTCCTTCATCAAACAGTTTAGTATCATTTGATACTTGAACTGCTTGCCGTCTGCCACTAGTAAGTTGATCCACAAGCGCAGTTAACAATTCTTCTGATTTAGTATAATCATAAATCAAACAAAGACCTTTCGACGCAACATCCTGAACAATATCGCTATTCACCGCAAGGAGATCCATGAACGCAGCTTGAATCGTCCTGAGTTTATCCTGAATAACCTTACGCTCCATGCATGATTTTAATAATGCCAATAACCAGATACTTGCAGCCTGTTTTGAATTAGGATGCGTTGATAAAGAGTATTTTAAAAGTTCATCCAACAGCCACGATAAATCTTCATCGTTGTTTCCAACTGCTTGAACGGACTTTGAATAATCATCGCTGCTGATTACCCAAGCATTCCGCGCTTCAGAGGACGTTGTACCCTGAATGCACATTACTAAAGATTCGCCAATGGTGAAGTGTACTTCAACGTCCTTGGTATCTTTGACGGTGTTGATAAAACCCTCGATTACTTGCCGGGTGAACGGAAAGTTTGCTTCGCCAACACAGAGTAAACCCAGTGCTCTAACAGCGCGTTCGCGACATTTTGTAGACAGTTTCACATTGTTCATTACATCTAATACTTGAGTAATAAGAACCTGTTTGGTAAGTTTCGCCATTTTCTTTATATCGGGACTCTCTGTGTCTGATTTATCATCCAGACCATTTTCCAGTGGCAAAGATGTTGACTTTGCTATGAGGCCAAGGGAAATACAGGCAGCGCTAGAGAGGAGCACTTGTTGACTTTGCAAAAATGAAGCTGGAATAATTTTTAAGGTTAGTAAATTCATTTAATTGAGGTTATGTCAACAAAATTATTATTGTAGGTTAACTTACCAATTGTTTCAATTACATTCTTCAACATATCCCTCCTTAAACTCTTTTTGGTCATTAATCTCCTCTCTAAACAACATCCCAAAGATAAAATACCACCATTCTGAGCCTCTACACTCTTATTAGCAGTTAACTTCAAAAGATACTCCAAAACCTCATCAAATTCTTTTTCTTTATCCACTGCTTCATTGATTAAAATCCCGTAGAGAATCGCAGCGTGTTCCCTTGTCTCCTCTTTAGTCGATAATAACAAGTCTCTTACTTTAGTCAAATCCAACTCCAAATCAGTTTGCAACTCTGGCAAACAACCAACTACCTCAACTAAACAACTAAGCGGTTCCACTGCTTGATTCGTCATTACAAGTTGCCTCAATAAAACAATATACTTCACAAGTGAAGCCTTCATTTCATGATTGTTATAAAGTTGCTTTAAGTACGCACGAATTACAGGACTTTCATCAGTGGGATGTTTCAATACATCACGTGTAAGTGGCACTTCCAACGATTGAATCAAACACAATCGGGAATAAATCAACATTTCGACGAAAATGTTTGGTGGAAATGGGATTGCATTGTTACCAATTGAAGTTCTATACGGATTGTCTTTTTTGTTGCTTTCCGCGTGGATGTATTCAATAATTTGGTCAAATTGTGGCATGGTAACTTTTTGATCCTCATTGGGTGCTAGCGAATTAGTTGATTCCGTTGGTTTGGCTGATAAATCAACATCTTGTCTCCTTGATGTACCATAGAGTGATTTTAACGCGTCAGTTGAAACATCATCTTTACTATTATTTAAAAAATAATTTATTTAGTACACTTAAATTATATTAATTTATATTTGGTGAACTTACGTGTCTCCACTCGCCAATAAAAGCAAAAACTTTGACGGTACGTGATCGGGTGGAAAGAACAACGCCAAACTCCTCACGACAACAAATCGCACCATCGGTTCCTGGCTCTGCATATAAAACTTCAACATCAAGTACAAAATATTCAATCGATCATTGTGATTGCACTCAGATGGATTGTTTTCGTATTTAAAAGCTTGAATCACATTCAATGCGCCTTCTCTAATTTGCAGTTTTAAGTCGGTGTCGCCTTCTTCAAGCTTTTTGTAAAACATTTCAATAAGACTAGTGTCGTGAAAGACTACCATAGGGAATCGGCGACTTATTGCTCCCAAAACGACGAAAGCTTGGCCTTGGTGAATCAATTCACCTTCATTGGTCAATTTAATCATGCCAGACTTTAAAACATTGGATATTTTCGCTAAATTATCCGTATCCGCGCTGAAAATATCAACAAGTTATCAAAAATACAAAAAAATAAAAAATATTTTCTCTAAAAAACATATTTAACTAAACACTTACAATTGAACCATGTTGATTGTAAAATTTAACGCAAGCGTTTTTAATCTGGTGTTTGTATTGGTTCCATAAAGCGAATCAAAAATGACTTGAATCGCCGGTGGTAAAACAAATCCCCCTCCGGTGACGCGACACAAATAAGTCAAGAGTTTCAGCCGGATTCGCGTACTAGCCGGTAATTTTTTCATGTTCGGCTTCACATTCTGCGTCTGCGATCCCAGAAAAAGCATATACAAACCCATACTGATACTCGGTAGCGACCAATCCAGCTGTCCGACAATTTTCTTCAGCTCGTTGTCAGCCAAGTTTGCAACACTAAAACGAGTGTCACTGGCTGCGACAATCAAGTGAAGTAAAACTTCCTCGTTTGGGAAAATTTCGTACGCGAGAAATTTAACAATCCCAAGTTTAATTTGCTCGAGTTCTTCTGGTTTCAGCGCGTAGTCGGTGGTCACTCTTTTAAAAGAATATTCAGACATACCAGGCGGTATTGATAGTGCAGGAGCGTCAGTTTTGTTAGCAGGGTTTGAAGTTGGGCTTATGGCACTAAAATAAGCCAATGCGTGAATTTAATGAACAAAAATTAATTTTTTGTTGTAAAATTACATACCCATAAGGTAAAAGTAACATGTCCACCAATAAAACCAACAAATGTTTACTAATCTGTGGCTTCTCATTGAGTCCAAATAAAAGTGACCGTTTTGCAGGGTCTGTTGGAACTGTCACCTTTCCAAGCAAAGGAATAATCAACAAAAGCAGACTGTCTTGATGAGTCTGTGGTTTTCCTTCCAACGAATTTAGAAGCAATGGTACTAGTGCAACCTGCTCATCAACAGTGAGACGCGGAAAACCCAACTTTAAATAGATGATTGTGAAGTTAATCACAAAAGAAGTTGTAGCTGGGTCTTGATACTGTTGCAAGAGTGCTTCCACTGGAAGTTGTACTTGAGAACGACTTTTCACGCGTTTGTTAACGTGCAACAACAACTCCATCACCTTCCAGTGTATAAATAAATGCATTAATAAATAAGAATGCAAGAGACAGAATAATATTTTTATACCTTTTTACGAACGCCTTCATGTGGTGATGCAAGTTTAAGTAAAACAGGTGGTAGAAACTTTGCAAGCACATTTTGAAACTGTTCGTCAGTGTCGGCCGTTCCAACGCGTAAAAATACTCGTTCAAGCAACACTGGAAGATTTTAAATATTTTTTAAATAATGATCTCTACAATGACTATTCAAAAATAATAACCTGACTTTTTAAAATACGAATTTGTACTTGTTGCAAGCGGGTTCAACAATGGTACATGTTAAAATATGAAAGGACATACCTGACTCGTCGTTGGCACTTGCCATTTTTAATAATTTCGTGTATAATATTCCAAATTATCACTAATTTATCACCAATTTTCACTGCGACCAAGAGCCAAAACTGGAATGGAATAACCCAACTTTTTTGTTTTCAGCTGTCAAAATCGATGATTTTAAATAACGCGCACATACAAGGTGCAAACACAAGGCAAAACATTCATTCAAAGAATAAAATAAAATAGAATACAAAATTAAGAAATGTAAACTTATACATGAAATATTGTTAATAATAAATTCTTATTACATTCATCGGATTATTAATCAAAGTTATTTAATAAATTGAATTATTGATTATTATACACTTCGTAATCCTTTGTATATACCTCCAGTGTCACTTAATTTGTAAATATAAACATAACCAACAAAAGAATCGATAGGAATCGTCGGAGTTTATAAACAAAACAACAAAATAAAAACTAGTTAACAACAAAAAGATTACTTGGTAGTAAATAAAATGACATCAAATCAACCTCCAGTTAAGGTAAGAACATCAAACATTTAATTAAATAAAGATATATTTTAAACATATAATTTGTTTATTAATTTTAGCGTTATCGCAAAACGGATAAATCAGAATCCGAAGAAGACGATTATGTTCCTTATGTACCAGTAAAAGAGCGCAAAAAGCAACAATTAAAGAAACTCGGTCGATTAGGGCAATTAAAAGATGAACAGAAGAAAACCAAATCCTCGAGTGAAAACGACACAAATGATGAGGATGAGGAAGAAATCTGGGGCAGGAAGAACAATATTTCTTTGTTAGATCAACACACAGAACTGAAAAAACTTGCAGAAGCTAAAAAAGTTAGCGCAGTCGAGCGACAACTGAAAAAAGAAGAAGAAATCCTTGAAAGTGTTGCGGAAAAGAAGGCTTTGATGGGTGTTAGTGAATTGGCCAAGGGTATTCAGTATAATAATCCTATCAAAACAAGGTATGACATAGAAATTTCTATTTTTCTTTGTAATATTAATTGTATTTATTTATATTAACAGTTGGACAGCTCCCGGTTATATCCTAGCAATGCCTGAATCACGACACGATGCAGTTCGACGTGATTTGCGAATATTAGTTGAAGGCGAGAACATTCCAGCACCGGTATAACCCAACTTTTTGTTTTCAGCTGTCAAAATCGATGATTTTAAATAACGCGCACATACAAGGTGCAAACACAAGGCAAAACATTCATTCAAAGAATAAAATAAAATATAATACAAAATTAAGAAATGTAAACTTATACATGAAATATTGTTAATAATAAATTCTTATTACATTCATCGGATTATAAATCAAAGTTATTTAATAAATTAAATTATTGATTATTATACACTTCGTAATCCTTTGTATATACCTCCAGTGTCACTTAATTTGTAAATATAAACATAACCAACAAAAGAATCGATAGGAATCGTCGGAGTTTATAAGCAAAACAACAAAATAAAAACTAGTTAACAACAAAAATATTACTTGGTAGTAAATAAAATGACATCAAATCAACCTCCAGTTAAGGTAAGAACAACAAACATTTAATTAAATAAAGATATATTTTAAACATACAATTTGTTTATTAATTTTAGCGTTATCGCAAAACGGATAAATCAGAATCCGAAGAAGACGATTATGTTCCTTATGTACCAGTAAAAGAGCGCAAAAAGCAGCAATTAAAGAAACTCGGTCGATTAGGGCAATTAAAAGATGAACAAAAGAAAACAAAATCCTCGAGTGAAAATGACACAAATGATGAGGATGAGGAAGAAATCTGGGGCAGAAAGAACAATATTTCTTTGCTAGATCAACACACAGAGCTGAAAAAGCTTGCAGAAGCTAAAAAAGTTAGCGCAGTCGAGCGACAACTGAAGAAAGAAGAAGAAATCCTTGAAAGTGTTGCTGAAAAGAAGGCTTTGATGGGTGTTAGTGAATTGGCCAAGGGTATTCAGTATAATAATCCTATCAAAACAAGGTATGACATAGAAATTTCTATTTTTCTTTGAATAATTAATTGTATTTATTTATATTAACAGTTGGACAGCTCCAGGTTATATCCTAGCAATGCCTGAATCACGACACGATGCAGTTCGACGTGATTTGCGAATATTAGTTGAAGGCGAGAACATTCCAGCACCATTGAAGTCGTTCAGAGAGATGAAATTACACAAAGGCATTCTGGCAGCGTTAGAAAACCGAAAAATTCGTAAACCTACACCGATTCAAGTCCAAGGCATTCCTACTGTGTAAGTTTAATAAATATTAACCTATATTTCAAGCTTTTTAACCTATAAAGTCACTTCTTAACATAACCAAACTTAATCATCTATTTTCTTGTTATTTTAGATTACAAGGACGTGATTTAATCGGCATTGCATTCACTGGAAGTGGTAAAACAATGGTATTCGTCCTGCCACTAATAATGTTCTGTTTGGAACAAGAAGTTAAAATGCCCTTCATTCGAAACGAAGGCCCATACGGCCTAATCATCTGTCCATCAAGAGAATTAGCCAAACAAACCTACGATATCATTCTTGAATTTTGCGCGTCTGTCAAAAAATTCAACATGCCCGAAATCCGCACGTCTTTAGCAATCGGCGGAGTACCTGTGTCTGAATGTGTTGAAGTAATTCAGAAAGGTGTACACATTCTAGTCGCAACACCAGGCAGATTGATGGACATGTTGGAGAAGAAAACCGTGCGGCTAGGTGTTTGTCGATATTTGTGCATGGACGAAGCTGACAGGATGATTGACTTGGGTTTTGAGGAGGATGTCAGGACTATCTTTTCATATTTTAATGTAAGTACACTTTTTTGTTATGGATATCTTTATGATAATAATATTTAAAATGTTTGTTTAGGGCCAAAGACAAACATTATTGTTCTCAGCGACAATGCCGAAGAAAATTCAGAATTTCGCGCGTTCAGCTTTAGTAAAACCGATAACCATCAATGTTGGGCGGGCTGGTGCTGCATCTCTGAATGTTATGCAGGTTTGACAACAAAAAAACATTAATTTTAAAGAAAATAATAACTATTTATCATCTTTAGGAAGTGGAATATGTTAAACAAGAAGCTAAAGTCGTGTATCTCCTTGAATGTTTGCAAAAAACTCCACCACCAGTGTTAATATTCGCGGAAAAGAAGCAAGACGTCGATGCAATTCATGAATATTTACTTTTAAAAGGCGTGGAAGCTGTGGCCATCCATGGTGGAAAAGGTAAGTAATTTTAAATCCCCACATGCATTAAAATTAAAATTACTTAAAATGTTTATGTTTACAGATCAAGAAGAACGCTCCCGATCAGTTGAAGCATTCCGCAAGAAACAAAAAGATGTACTGGTTGCCACAGACGTCGCATCCAAAGGTTTAGATTTTCCTGACGTACAACACGTTATAAACTACGACATGCCTGACGATGTAGAAAATTACGTGCATCGCATTGGTCGTACGGGTCGATCTGGTAAACAAGGTGTTGCGACAACATTCATAAATAAATCTAACGATGAATCAGTTCTCCTTGACTTAAAACATCTACTAATAGAAGCGAAACAAAAAGTACCGCAATTCTTAGCGGAATTATGTTCTGACAATGAGAAATATCTCAATCTTGGAGGTAAGATGAAAATTATTTCAAAAAATTTAATTTTACTAATAATTACGTTACTTTATAGATGATAAAGGCTGCGCGTATTGCGGTGGTCTCGGTCACAGAATCACCGACTGTCCGAAACTGGAAGCCATTCAAAACAAACAAGCATCCAACATTGGCCGAAGAGATTATCTTGCGAACACTGCGGCTGATTATTAATACGAATTAATAATTGAATATAACAATGTAATTATCTTCAGATTGTAATTTTACAATAATAATACATTTGTTTCATGTATATGTAGGTACAATATTTTATAAAATATAGTTATTTATAATTATCATACAGAAACAAAGTGTAAATGCTTGTGTTCATCGACACACTCAAAACTAAACTACCCTTTTTTTAAATAATTCTCTATTATTGGGTTTGTTTATTATTGCAAAGCATATGTAACAAAATCGTCGTAACAATTTGCACGAATAACGAGGTGACTTGTTTGCTTTTGGTTTAAATTCGACGTAAATTCGTTATGTTTTAGGTTTACATTTAAGTGGTTTGTGTGTTCATTCATCATTGCTTCCAAACATCACATCATGGAGAGCGAGATTTACATTCGAGTGGGGTAGAAACATGTATAATTACTCGTATTGTGTCACATGTAGTAAGGATTAGCAAAGATAATATCTAAACTGTTTCAGATGGATCTCCAGTGCGATATAAATGTAAATAAAGTTATTTTTTGTTGATTTTTATGAAAATAACACATAATTATATAAAAAAACTTTAAAAAAATATTATTTCTAAAAATAGTATTTAACCTTAAAAACGTCACCATTTTGTATACTTCCATTAAATTTAAAGCAAATAAAATATTCTGGAGTCCACCTTTCAACTGCAATCTCAAATTATCACCGAGACACCAAATTGTTTCTATGTTAAAGCCCCAAAACAGAATATTGTGCGGTTAAACATTTATACTGTGACATAAAACACTATCAGAAGTCGAATTCTTATAATTTAATGTAAAATTAGTTATTTAAAGATAAGAGTATACACAGATTTTGCTTTTTTTGTTTGTTTCTTAATTTGTTAGTATTATTGGTTAGTCCAATATTATGTGTGACTAGTGGGTAAGTATTTTATCAAGTAGACATCTTATAAATAGGAAATCACACAGAAAATGCTTCGTTTCTTTAGTTTTCATGCTTTTCTTCATGTCTTAAATGTTAGGTTAGTAAATTTTGTTGAAATTTTATAAATTGTAGGACGTTACAATATAAAATATAATCACAATGACGTTCATTATCATTCGAGTCATATGAAACGGGGTTTTCTCTTAGATATATTAAACATTTTACACCCAATTACTTGTTAAAAAAAATGATAAAATTCATTTTCTTTGGTTAATTTTGAGATCCATTTCGAAATTAATTACTGACCAAATTTGCTTTGATTGTTTTAATATATGTAATTAAATCACTTACCTTTAGTCTCAAATTCTTCAAATTTCTTTAGACTTTTTCATTCTCTATGGTGTATTTTGGTGGAGCTGTCGGCGGTGTCGAGAACAGTACATCCTGTCGGCCATCTTGTGCCTCATTGTCATGTTTCTGTTCATCTAATTCCAGCAATGGAACCTTCGCCGGTAAAGGCTCCGCTTCCTTTTCTTTCTCTTCACCTTGATCATCCTCATCATCTCCAATCAATAAGTCATCACTGATAACCTTCTTTTCGCTCGATATACTTAAATATAACGCTACCAAGATGGCCGAAATGATGGCTGACACGAGTATCCACTTCGGAATACCGGAGTTTCTCGATGCGCAATCCAGCCAATCACCGCTCGGAGGCGGATTCATAGGTTTAGTCAACTCTTCGAAGAGAGTTTCGATCGGTAACGTACGATACATACTCTCGGGTATTTTGTAATCGCGCTGACCATCGACGTAATGCAACTCGCGCGGTGCGTAATTCTCAATGAACCAAGTCATTTCCAGCTCGTCAAGTTCCGGCTGCGGATTGTCGAGATTCTTCGTGTCTTGTTCGATGTACACGATGACAGCTTCCAACTCACTCTGCTTTTTACGCAACATATTTTTGCAGCCTTTTCGACACGCTGTGTTCAGGTCAAGTTGAGAGTATGCATCAACACAAGCTGCACAAAGAAGCAATTCATATAACACAAACTAAGAAAACATAATCCTATTTTACACTGCTTACATGAATAACATTCATCTTTGCTATTATTCAAATTGCGATCGTCTCTGAGATAAATAATATTGAATATGCGGCAACCTCGTTGACACGCTGACATTGCCAATGGATCCTAAAAATATAAATGAAATTTTTAAACAACATTTAGAAGTGTTACTTTCATTTATTGATTATGTATCACATTTCATAATTAACTATGAAAGAATTTTGTTGATAATGTTATTGTATCATAAGTTATGTATGGAAAAAATCAATATTTTATTATTTTCTAGTGTTATCAACAAATTATTTGCTTAGAAAATGATCAAATTTGATGTGGAATCAATATAAATACTTACATCAGGTAATAAAAAGAAAATATCAACGCACACAGCCTGACATTGCTCCATATCATTCCCACTGGAATTTATTTCATTATTATCGAGATTCTTGTGGTCATTGTTAACGGCGTTCTGTGCTAATGTACAGCCGACGAGAGCAACAATAACAACCAGCGCAAACATTTTTTACTTATTTTTTAATACTATATCTGCGTTATCGTCTCCTGTGAGTATGATTTTGATGAAATATAACTAGACGTTCGTCTGTTTCGTATCACGCCAACACTGATTGTTTATTCGCTGCGTCGATGTTGTTCGATTACAAATGAATCTCTGGAAACGGTCGCTTGATAATACACTAGTAAATCGGTTATACACGCATTGTGTTTGCACTGTAATAGCCTGGACCGATAAAGCAGACGAGGCGAATCACCGTGATCAGAGTGCATCCAATGTCACAATCAGCCGATCGCGAGTTGTTTCGCTGGTTGTAGCGCCCGTTGTGGCCGTTTTGAGTGGTGGCGAGTTGCATTTGTTTGCGATGCGCGCGCACTGTGCGCACCATTACTCGTGTAGCAGAGCGCTTAAAAATCAATAATTAAATGATTTAAATTGATTAGGATTCGGATTACAGATTACTGTTGCTGTAATACTAGGCGTATAGTATGCAAAAATCATGATTGCGCATTCGCGTGCGCTGTTATATTAAAATTAATGAGATTATTATACGTTTTCGGGTGATAGTGTTACACGTGTTGCAAACACCCTCAATCTTTACATTAATAAACAAGCAAAAACAGGAATTTTAATACTATTAATAAGCGTAAAGTATATGTATATCAAAGTGGGCAATACATAAAGCTATTATTTTAAGTTTTACGTTGTTTTTTGTGTAATTTAAAGTAAATTTTGAAAGGTGCAAAGGTTTTTGAGCTTACATCTGCGTTTTAACGCGAAAAACAGCATAAAAACGTTTTGTTTTCATTAAAAATAACGTAAAGGTTAGTTTAATTTCATTTAAAATGCGCAATTCTCTCTTCTCTTCCAATGTCGGTATAGTAGGAATGAAATTATAAAGGATCTGTTTCTTAGTTTAAGATAAATGCAATCTCCATTTACGATTTAATAAAAATGTATTTCACAACTCCGCAAAACCGGAGCGTTCGGGCAATAAGTTAATAATATAAGAATAACAATAACAAATAATGTATAATTCGTTATAAATTGAACTAATCTGCATTGCTGTTAATATGTCTCGTCCTCTGTGCAGTCATCCGTCGCATGACCAAATGCTACAAGTAAAACAATAAGAATTAATCCAAATACAGAATAATATAAGTCACAATGACGAACCTTCACAGATTTCGCAATAAGGCCTCGGTGGTGGTATCTCCTTTTTCTTGCCATCAGGTGGAGGAGGTGCAGGCATATCATCATCTGCTTGCGTCGGACAATCTTCGGTTTCGTGCAGATCGAATTCTTCACAAATATCGCAATACATACGCGGTGTGACAGTTTTATCAATTAAACCAATCCTGCATTAAAAAAATACATTAAAAACTATAAAATGACGGAATTATATTTAAAATGTGATATCTTACAATTTTAATTCATCTGCAGCTGCAGGACTATATCCACTCTCAAGAATTTCAATGCGTGCCTTTTGCTCTTCGTTTTTCTTCTGCATATCCGCGATGATTGAATGCAGAAACTCAACCTGTGTCTCCGCCTCCAGTTTCTCCTCCAGCAGCTGCTTGTAATCATTCGAATTCGATTTGCCCGTGTTATTGTTGTTGATCTTGTGTTAATCCAACAAAAAGACACAACAAGCAGAAAAAAAAAACATGCAAATTAATATCGAAAACATAACCTATATTAAAGCATAACCTTCAAACTAATAAAATGAAATCTTACCGTTTCATCGGAAATCTTTACGGTGGTAACCTTTCTCTCTGCTTCCAATCTAGCCTTTAACACCTCCTGCTGCATCAATAACATCTCATTTTGATGATGTTTGATTTTATCGTTGGCAGCTTGTAGACTTTCATTACTTGTGTTGATCATTTGCTCCAACTGCTGGAGTTTATCTTTATTATCGTTGATAACTTGTACTGGCAATTTTGTAACCAAATCCACTAATATTTCCGAGCCTTTTATATCCTGACTCGCCAATAATTGCTGTTTGTGTTCATCAGTAACCTTTAATACTGTAAACAACTTCAAACAGAGATTAAACCTGTCTGTTAACTGTTTCATCTCGCCTATATTAATGGTTTCAGCGTCAACCATCTTGCCTAACTTTTCTCGCAATTCATTATTTAATACTTCGGTTTCACTCATCGACTTTTGCATAATTTGCATCTCATTTTTCAATTTATTAATCTCATCCTCTTTGGTTGCACTAATTTCCACATCATTCTGTAGTTTTTGACACTCCTGAATCTTAATCTCTAATTGATTTTGTAGCTGTAATTCATTGGTTTTGGACGTTTCTAACTGTGCGCTTATAGATTCAAGCGTTTTGTTAACTTCAATCAGTTTTGTGTCAAGTGCGGTGATTTTGTTGTTCTTTTCAAGAATAACAGTTTCTCCTTTGTGCGCTTCCTGTAGTTCGTGATCCTTCTCAGTTATCTTGGCGGTCATTTCGTGCATTCTTTCATTCAACTTGAGAATCTCTGCCTGGGCGTTTTCTAATTGTTGTTTGGTATTTTCAACGTCCAAACGTAACTCTTCCGAGTGTTTCTTAACTTCAAGATGATTCTTGAGCATTGTTTCAATCTCTAAATCTTTTTCGGTTGCATTCGCGTCCTTTTGACTGTTCTGCTTTTCAATTTCTTCAATATTTGCAAGTAGTTCTTGAATAGTTACATCTTTTTCGGTAACAGATGCATTTAATACATCAATTTGTTCTTGGAAGGAGGCCTTCATCTTGGTAACTAAATCATCGTTATCTGTAGCGCGTTGTTGTACATCTTTATGTGCCAATTGAAGCTGTTCATTTGCACTTTGCACACTTTCGTTTAAAGCGGCAATTTCTTTAAGAGCTTCTTCAAGTTTAACTTGCAATTCTTGAGTGTGTTTGGTGCTTTCTTCAAATTTAGATTCTAAATTAGATTTGATTTGAACTTCATTTCCTAATTCTTGTTTGAGTTTCTCAAGCGCTGCGTCTTTATCAGCGACATCTAGCTTAACAGCTTTTAACTCATCCCTAACCTCACTTAAAGTTTTATTCAAACTGTCTTGAGATTTACCAGAGGCATTATTCAATTCTTCAATTGTTTGCTTTAAAGCTGCATTCATTTGCTCAAGATCCCCCTTCTCAATTTTCGATTTTTCTTCCATATTTGTGAAGTTAATCTTCACTTCCTGTAGTGAATGCTCTAACTCCTTTATTTTTGCTTCAAATTGATTCTTATTGCTTTCTAATTCTGTTTGTTTCGCCTGCAATTCTTTGTTTAAGATCTCTAGTTTAGAACTTTCCTCGCCACTAGCACCCAATAATTGTTGAATCTCTGCTTCCATCTTGTTTTTATTGACAAGCGCCTCCGCCATTTTCTCCTCGAGTTGTGCAACACATCTTTGTGAATCTCCAAGCTGCAACTCCAACTGCGAGTCTTTATTCTTCAACTGTTCCAGATTTTTCAACTCAAGATTCAATCTCTCTTGAACCTGCGCAAACTCAGTCTTTTCTTTCTCTAATTTCTGGCAAGTTTTAGCTAATTCTTCTTCGGAATTTTCATATTTTGATTGCAATTCTTTAAATAGATCAATCTTTGATGTTAATTCACTCTTCAACGCGTTCATTTGCTCCGTCATTTCGTTTATTTTCATATTTGATGTCTCTAACTCTTTCCTGGAATCTTCTACTTTCTGTTCCACCTCTGTTTTCAATTGATTTATAGTTCCATTTGATTGTTCAAGCATCTCCTTTAACTTTTCCACTTCAATCATGGATTTTTCTTCTTCCATATTAACATTTTCTGTTTCACGAATCTGACTCTCTAAAGCAGCTTGTGTTTGTGCCAAAGCTTCTTCTAGTTTCTTCATATCATCCGTTTGCGTTTTACTAGTCTCATGCTGATTCTCCAATTCTAAAACCTTAGCACTCATCTCCATTTTGATTTTATCTAATTCTTTCTTCATCGTTTGCTCAACAACTCCAGCTTCATATTTGTATTTTTCATGCTCTTTCTGAACATTTTCAAGTGAATTTTCACTTCTTCAAAGTTAATAGCTAATAATTTCAATTCATCATTTTTGGCGTTAATATCGTTGGTATATTTGGCACGCAGTTCCTCAATCTCTTGATTTTGTTTAAATGTCTCCACTTCATGTTCGGAATTTAACCGAACCAACTGTTTATTCAAATCATCCATCTGCTTAGCAGACAATTCTTGGTGTTGCTTCAACGTTGTATTCGCTTCTTCAACTTGGGATTGCAAAGTTTGAACCAATTCTGTATAAATTTAAAGTTAAGTGAATATTGGGTTGCCTATAGCCAATTTTCAAACCAAGTTTCATACCTATAGATTTTGTTTCTTCACTTTCCAAACTAGAGCGCTTCTCAATCGCATGCTCCAACTCAACTTTGGCAGCTTCATTTGCTTCTTTCAAGGTGTTGATAGTTTCATTCGCCTGGGATAATTTTCCAGCATCAACTTCAAGCTCAGACCGAAGTAGTGATAGTTGTAAATTCAACTCGGCGATTTTGGCCACATGTTCTTCATTTGTACTCTAAAAATTACCAGAAATTAATTAAAACAATCGAATTATATCAAAAATTAAACAAATAACAAATCACACATAGAAGAAAATGTTGTAAAACCGAAATTTTTACATCAAAAAGTTATAAACACAAAAAATGAAAAGAAAAACAACCAAAAAAGACACCAATGAAAAACACACAATTGAAAACTCTGTTCTTACGTTTTGTGCATTGATACGGTGCTGTAATAATAAATAATAGTGTCAAATGTATAAATAATGATGCCTGCTGAGTTTGATAACAATTATTGTTTACCTCTGCATCGGATTTAATAATAGCAGCTTCTTCAAACTTAAATTGCCAATCCTCATTCTTGCCACGCTCTTCATCCAGCTGACCCAACAATTCCTTCTTCTCATTCTCGAACTCAGTCAATTTGAATACGTATTCTTTTAGTTTACGATCGCAGTCAAGTCGATACTGAAAAATACCACACAAAAGTGTAATATAAATAATTTTGAATGCTGTTTTCTCACATTTTCAAATTCTTTCTGTATCGATACGTATCGCTGCTCGGCCTCGTCGGCCAAACTTGCCGCCTTTGTGATTTCCGCGCGCTCCAGATCACGCTCCTTGAGCAGCTGCTCGATGTGCTGCTGTTTTTCTTTGAGCACGTCCTATATTCAACGAGAAGGTAATTATTACAATGTAAAACACATTAGAATGTAACACTAAATTAAAATAACAGATAATCTAGTTCTAGTTGAACTTGAAAAGTGTTGTAAAAGTTGAAACATTTGCCTGCAATTCCAAATAATTGATTTAATTGCGCGTTGATTACGTGCGGGAATGTGACATACATTTGTTTACATTATAGGTGGATACAGGTGTAAACTATGAACATGTTTGTATAGTTTAATAGGGAGATAAATGGTCATTGTCTGCCAAATTTGGACATTCAAGGTCAATAAGCGCAGCAAAAGTTAATAAAATGATAAAAACTGCAGGTATTATAATTATGAAGGTAGTAATATTTATTTGTATTGTTTTATCTTTCATTGTTTCTCCTTGAACTTTCAAAAATTATTTAATTTTGTGATTTTTTAAAAATTTTATGGTTTTATTTGATCTTTGAATAGTAAAAATGTTTTTATTGATTGTATTCTATAGTTACTGATGAAATTTATTAATTATGGAAGAAATTATTTATCGGAATTGTTTAATTTTGTAGATATAATAAATCTTTTGAATGTGTGAAACTTGGATTCATTTGACTCTAAATTCAAACAAAAACAACAAATGACACGTATTTTTCACTAAGAAAGGTTTATCCTCTTTAAAATTTGCTTTTCAACCATTGTTTATTTAAATCTCTGTGATTTTAAATAGATGTGTTACATCTCCGCAAAATCAGCAGACATAAAACAGAATTCCAACCGAAATGCAGTTTAAAGTTGTCAGTTTTTGTGGCTGTATATCTCTATACATTAAAATAGTAAAACATTGATTAAACAACCATTAAAAAGGAAATTTAATGGAGAATAAATATAGCAAAGCACAAAATACGACCGCGTTGTTGATTTCGTGTAACTATCAAAATAAAACAAGTCTACAATTGAAATTATTGATAAAAGCAAATATAAAATTCATTATAACTCAAAAACTAAAAGAAATAAAAAAGTTATTTTTGTGTTCAAGTGTAGATATTAATAAAAACTATCAATTTACGTAAATACCAACTCAAAATAAATAATTTTTAATCAATAAATTAAATTAAAGCATAAAATATTTGACCTATATAAAGTTCAATGTAATTTTCTACTTAAAAAAAGCAGAAGCAAATTTCATCAGATAATTTATTCCATTCTTTTAATTACTTTGAATAAATTTATGAAAACATTTTATAACGGCGCTTCCAATTTACCTTTATTATTATAAGTTGGTATTATGCGCGCTGCCTACATGAAATTAGCATAAATAAAACCGACTGGAAGCTGTCAGTGTTGGCGTGCACTCAAGGAGACCAATTTCAAGAAGCAAACAATCAAAACAACAACAACAAAAACAAAGCACTACCAGAGAAAATGAATAAAACAATACAAAATAAAATAAAATAAGGAAGCAATAAAATCATAATAATAATAACAGCAATACACACAACAAATAATTAAATAAATTATCAAAATAAATGTAATTCTTTTACAACAGCAGTAGTAGTGGTAATAGCAATGCAATTTACAAAAAATTCCAAACTTAAAACATAAACTAAACAAAAAATAACACTAACAATCATTTGTTAATAAATTAACTTATTCTAAGTTAAATATTAATAATAATTTTATGTAGATACAAGTATAAAATTAGGTACAGTACTTCTTTTGTGTTTTGTTTTAATAATATTTTGACTACAATTCTGTTTGCAGCAAAGCAGGTGCAAATGTTTCAACTTAATTTCTTTTCTTTTGTCAAAAAAAAAACAACTAAAATGCAATTAACGCGCAGTAGCAGTAGTCGTCGTGAGACGTCGTGTGTTCTCGAGAAATTAGTACGAATAGGTTACCTGCAGGGCGGTCCTGACGGCAGCGGGGTGGAGTTGATTTAGGAGGCGTTTATGCTCCTATGCATTTATGAAACCAAAACAAGCGTAAAACACACCACACACACTTCAATCAAAATCTCATAAACACGTATTAAACAAAAACAAACAAAAATAAACCCACAAATTAATCAATTAAAACATTAAAACATTAATTTTTCAACACACAACAGAAAAACATGATAACCACAGATATTAATAATTAATAATTAGTTTTTAAATGTTTATTTGTAGGTTTTGGGTTGTTAAGTTGTTGTTTTTGTTATATAAATCAACAACCATAACCAACCTTTGGTGTTACAACGATCACGCCCATAGTCTTAATACCCTTCGAGTGCAGCCGCGATACAGACGCAGAGGCGGACGCAAGCGACGATGTCAGCAGGACATAAGCGACCTTCGAGTTGAACGACGCATACCGTCGAGTGCAATAAACGCAGTTACCGGCCTGCGATTGGACGGTATGAGCGACTCCATTTTAGTCACGTATAAATAGACCAAAATTCGGCCGACAGCCAGTGCAAAATATCTACAAACAAATCACTAACAAACATCATACGCATAAATATTTCATTATTATACCTTTCACCGCCACTGAACCATCATTTTTACCCCTGTTCATCCAATTCAACACCACACCATTCTCCATTGGCAAAAAAGTAGTGAAACCCATGTATCTCTCAACGTGCCCACTTTGGGATCCTTGCCAGACGGATAATCACCCCTAATACCTACTTTGAAATCCACATGTGCAGAAGCCAAGCCAGGCGTTTGAAATACCTGACAAATATTTATTGATTAACCTAAAATATATTTTGAGGTTATATAAAACCTACTTAAAGTTGATTTTGTGCTCATTGTGGGGAAATCTGTGTTTTACGCAGCATGCCATTGGTAGGGGAGGGCTAGCACAGTATGAATTTCCGCCTCCGCAACGAACCGGCCCTAGGTATCTAGTGAGGCGTGTGAGAGACGACTGCAAACACGCCCTCGTTTCCCTGCCTCTCGCATTGAAAAGTATCTGATGCCGCCCAGAGCTCATCACAGTTTTTAATGATTGGCTGGTTCAGAACCATACCAGCCCACTGCTCGGAGCAAACTTCTGCTTCGCCAATATATGCAATCTGGCCGGGTTTCAGTCCCGCCCACAAACACACGCCATCTCAATGATGAAACTGTTTGTGTCTTCGGTTAACCGTGTTGTTATTCAATAAATTTAATATTTTAATATTTATATATATAAAAAAAACATATTTTATTTCCTAGAAAAACAAAACATAAAAACACGCCAAATATGATTTTTTATAAATAAATAGTGAAAAATGTAATTTTGATTTTTGTGATTTTGACTATACCTGAATATCTGCTGAGACCGGCCTCGCTTAGCCGGCGCGCGGATGTAAGTCCCAAAGGGCGTCCATTGAGGATGAAAAGCCCGTGCTACCCACTCAAACAACAGAAAGCAAAACTAGTCAATCAGCCAAACACACACAGAAAATAAAAAACAGAAAGACACCACAATGCACACAAGATGCAATAAATGATAAAAAGTGAAAAATTTGTTGTGAATAGGTGAATGTGTACCTAGCACGATGCAGTCAACGTAAAACTAATTTGTCGCGCAACTCAACGCAGTTCTTGTTCTTAGTCATTATCCGTCGACTGGACGCTGATGAGCGAGACAAAACGTCATGCAAATATCCGCAAACTTCGAATGTCGCGCGCATTAGTAACACGAGAGCAATTTCACGTGTAAGGAGCATAAATATGAAATGCGAAAATCATCGATAGGAATGATAATATACTTAAAATTATTTCATAATAATAAATATTAGAGTAATTTAAATAAAAAATAATTTTTAAAGTAAAATATTATGAAAGTTATTGTTACACCCTGTATAATAGTATGCCAGCAATTCATGTAAACATTGTCAACAAATCGAAGTTACTTCCAACACCGCATATGTTTGAATTTATTATGTCAAGGTGCGCCACCAAGCATTTTCGATGTCGATGTCGTTGCGCCATTTTATTTTACGATATACGAGTATTAGCAAGACTGGGGAATTCGGGTGTTCATTTTAGATATTTACAACTTATTCAAAAGTTAATCTTTACTTAACTTTACTTAACATTACTTATTTTATGTTTTAAGTCAGTTTTTGATTATTTTGACTTACGAGACGTGCGTCGTAAAGATGGAGAGCGCTCACGTGATCTCTCCCTGGAGTTGGAGCGTTCGCGTGAAAAGCCCTTGGGGGGTTTGCTGTAGCTGCTGTAACTGCTACTCGTGTAATCCTTGAAAGGATCGTCCTTGAAATAATCTGGACTATCTACGCATCGGGGAACAGAGCGCAGAGAGAACAAACACAATTATTTCCTGATGTATTCAGATAGTGATTAAGCGTATTACTGAAATGGTTTTGTTTGTTTATGTTGTTGTGGCATGTATTGTATTAAAATTCTAGAAGTTGCAGCGAGTGGACAGAGTTGTATGTACAGAATTTTATATGTCAGGGGGTAATAAAAATGTAATTCATTATTTGCAAAATTTGAAAAAAATAAAATTAAATTATTTGCAAAAAAAAATTTTTTACTTCGAAAGCAATTTTTATAGGTTAAATATTTTTTTGCTATTTTTTTTATTGAAAGCCAATTTAAAGCAAATAAAATTTCCCTAAAATTTAAACTGAAAAGCTTTGAACAAATCAAGAAAATGGGATTTTAAAGCTTCCTAACCATGTTCAACGCATGATTTTTATTTTCATTTTCCACTTACGATCCCTGCGTAAACTAGAACGCCTCGGCGGATAGCTGATAATCGGATTGCCGAAAAAGTCTACATCTTCAAAGAGGTCCCGAATAAAACATGTCCGATCTAATACAATGCAATTACAAGTGTAGAAATGTAAAAAAAACTAAATATCATGTAAGTGTAAACGTGTTTTCATTCTATCTTTTAATTTTATCTTTTTTTTTTTTTGTTGAACAACAAAACACTTACTTTCAAATGGCGATTTGTAATTCTTAAAAGTATTGTACGCATTGTCAAAGGACGAGTTGAACGTCTTCAGCGTTTTCGGCAGCGTGGACGAGTAATTGTGCAGGCGATTTCCAAAGAAATCCTCTTCGAATTCGTCCATTTCGATTAGATCTATTATGATCCATACACAGAAGTGCGAAAGGTGTGATTTATTCAGAGAGACACATGCAAAACAAATGTTGTGGAGACCAACAAAGCACCAATTATTTCACAAATTTCAAAAAGAAACATATATTTGGAAATTTAAAAAAATGAAATGCTGTACTGTACCTGAGAGTTTATATCGGTTGAGATCGTCGGATGCGCGGCGTACATAATCGTAGGAAGAGGACATTTCTGCATGCAATTTAAATAGCTCATAATATAGGCAACCAAACAAACATTTTTTAAAAATTCATAACAAATTTAACTTAAATAAGCATTTAAATAGCATTTTACTGTCTAGACGTTGAAATAAATCATTATCGATCAAATATAAGCAACCAAACAAACATTTTTTTTTAATTCCTATCAAATTTAACTACAATAATCATTTAAATAGCATTTTATTGTCCAGACTTTGAAATAATTAAGCATCAATCAAATGATTCATAAATAATATAGATATTAATGCAATGATTGAATTTATATTTGTTGTTTGCGTTTGACATTCAAACCTTGTCCGCGTCCGCTCTCCGGCCAGCATCCACATCACGTCACAATATTTCCACTCTGCGTGGGTGGACTTCACAAACACGCACACAGATATAAACAAATATCATCCTAATCCCACGTGGGCGTGCAGTATAATGCAAAACCATCACGCCAAGCAAATATCACAAGCAAAATACTTGTACTCGTACACGTTTATTGAATGCAAACAATAAAATATAAAATGTAAACTTTATGCTGTATGATTTTATCGAGTTAAGTTTTCAATAATAATACTCATCGGTCAAGGTTTCATTTACAGAAGATCAATATTTATTAATTAATTAACTTTTGGTTTTTTATTTCAATGCTAATGTCAAGTTAAAAGCAATTTGTGATTTCAACTGGGCGTACGACTAATTTGCACAACTTTCTTTCGCCATATTTGCATCGGGAGAAATTTAAAATTAAATTTATTCAAACTGTTTCATTTCCTAAATAAAATAATACTAACCTATTTTTATTTATTTTTTTTATTAAATCCCAAAAATGTAAAAATACGTAGGTGTTAATGATGTTAATGAAATTTCGCATATTTACATCTTCAATTCAATTCGCACCTGAGGACTTTCCAAAACTCCTTGAGAGCAGTATGTTTATTTATTGCACTGCGCATTCAATTAACACAAGTGAACAATATTTATTTTTGCATGCAAGTCATAATTTCGCGATGTGAATTTTAAATCTATAATATAAAAATGAATCGCAAAATCTGTTGGTATGCGCATAACTCAACAACGGCTAGACCTATTTGGCCAATTCTTTTTTTAAAATGTTTGTTAAAGTCCAAGGATGGTTTTTACGACGAGAAAAATTCGAATAATTGCCGGGAAAACCCTAAAGACAGCCCTTTTCAATAGGATAAAAGTTGGCATTGAGATTCAATCGTAGTTATAGTTAAATAGTTGAATCCGAGATGGCGTGCTGAAGTGCATTATTAGCAATTCTTTATATAATTAATTTCTTTAAAATAAAATTGCGATAGAACCGAATTGTAACAGATTTTGCATAAATAAATAAAAATTTATTTTTATTAAAAACTACGCAACGATCAATTTATTATAGTTTATTATATTTATTATTATTGTAAACACATAACCTATAATCATCAATGTCATGAGTTCACTTCGTGTAGTCGTACGGTGCCGCCCAAGTGTGATGTCATGCGTTCTATTTATTCGTTTATTAAATTAACTTTATAATAAAACCGAATGCATAAATTACATTTCGATCTGTCTCGATAATTGTGACTACAAATTGAGTCATTTTTCATTCAGCGTCTTTTGTTTCTGTATCATATCGTTTTTCCAAACTAGTGTTTCCTTGACACGATAATCTGCATACTTCCACAATCAATCGCTGGAAGATAGAAGGTCTGAATGTCTGAAAATGGCGTCCGCAACTTTCCACACGTCCCGAGCACTCAATCAAGCATTAAGATGCCTTTTAGAGCAATCTTTCTTTAATTTTTTTGTGTTTATTAATTAATTAATATGTCGTCGAGTTGTTCGAGCACATGTTTTCGCTATATATGCGCATAAGTTTTGCTCAGGCTCAGACAAATACGGTACACAAAAAATACCCCCAGCTGTGTGTGTTGCCAATTGCGAAACACGTTTATCGACGAGATGTTATTAATTAATATTGTATTCAAGATGTGTGCTTCAAGTGAGGATGGTGAAAATTTGGCGACAGGTTTTTTCGCAATTGTGTCCATGACACACATCAATCAATCATAAATCGAAAATAAAAATCATCAATTAACAAAATTCAGAAATTTTAAAAAATAATATTGCGTACATTTTACTAACATATGATTATTTTAGAAAATAAAAACTTTGGTTGAGTTCTATTAGTGTATAAAGTTGTACTTTGACGCGCTAGTGCATAAATATACTTTTAAAACGTTTTTATATAACAAAAATTCTCATAAAAGAGTTTTATATGGCAAATAATGATCGACCATGGTACCATTTGTGCTAAAACAATACACATTTGCAAAATTTGTAAATTAGCGTGTCTAAAATGGCAATTTTACGCACTAAATATACAATATAACAACGTATCTTCATATTGACTTAATTTCCACAATTGAATTATAAGAGAAGGTCAATGTCAAAGTTATTTTTGAAGAAATAAGAATTAAAAATAAGTATTTTCAGCATAAAAGCTTACGAAAACAAGAATAAAAAATAAAATTCAAACACCATATTAAATTATTTTTAGCTCTATTTCAAATAAACTAATAATTAATTCAATTTATACTCCATTCATGTTTGTATGTTTCAATTTTGGTCGTTGACAATTTGACAGCCCACACAAACACGATTTAAATTCGACAGGTGCGTGTTTGTGTTTCTTGAATGAGAAGTGTCACTCTGTGTCATTCTCAACTCAGTTCTCAATTCAGTTGAATTTTAAAATTATAATTGAAAACATTCGCGAACGTGTCTTATAAAAAATAGGTCATTATAACATTTCAAACATTATGCATTCCGAAAGGTGTAGCGCAGAGTAATTTCAATGACTTTACTTTGAACGAATCAGCAAAACCAGTCTAAACTAAATCGAAACAACTGCGTGTATTTTAAATTCAAAATTCAAACAATTCTGGGAATGTCCACGCATTATAAAAATAAAAAATAAAAATATAGTCACTCATTTCGAGTTCTCATGAAGTAACATTGTGTTAACATTGAAAATTGAAACTTAACACGTTTAACATTGAAATAAAAGATTAAAATAAAATAAATTCAAGATAATTAAATAATAAATTTCTACTAAATACCTACGTAATTAATTACATTTCTTCGTGGAATTGTTATGCAAATAAATCATTTTCTAGCAAATCTACGCCGTGAAAAATGTAAAACGTGTCCGGCTAATTGTGCTATAATTTATAACATCATCGACGCTTGGAAACACAACCAATCAACTTCTCAACTTGTATTTTGTGTCATTCGAGTGTTATGCAAATCAAATAGAGACGCAAAAAACAAGCGGTTCTAGAGGGACGGACGATCTGACATGATTTATCGGTTGAATTTCATAAACGGATAGAAAAGTATAAAAATAAGACAAAATACGTATAATGCCGATAGCAACACAACCTTCGCATGCAGAAACGAAATTTTGTAATAATAATAAATTTAGATTAATGGCTGATGGGCGGGCAGCGGTCATTTTAAATTTATCTCGGCGTTAATGAGTTGAAATTTTAAATAAATTAATAAAAAGCGTAAATAAATCAAAAATTAAGTAAAAAAATAACTTTTCAAGAAATAAATATTTTATTAGTAAAATTATATGTTCGATACTTATACTGCAACTCAAAGCATTGGCCAACCTAAAGATTTTTGTGATTTTCGATTTATTGCATTTGTTTTTATCGCGAATAACAAAATAACTACAAATATCAGAAGAGCGTGCAACAACATAGAAGACATAACACAATGGTGCAAAAGACGCAAAATCGAGTGGAACGAACACATAGGAAGAACAAAATAACTACAAATATCAAAAAATACATAAACTAAAGAAAAAAATTCATTTTTAAAAGTTTTACGGTTCTTTCTCTTCATTATCCTGTATAATTGTCCTCTACAATACCTGACGTATGTATAAATGTGTTGTGTAGGTAATTACTGGAAAATCTAACACATTTAACCTTCGTTCGCTAATAATTCTTACGTAACCCAAGCGATGTGTGTGTATTTACCCGCAAACGCATTTAATTCAAATTCAAATCCACACGCCGCCTTCAACAATCAACAATACAAAAACTACATTACGAAAATTATCAGCTACCAAAGTGTGTTATTAACGCGGCGCCATATTTAACTCAATCGAAAACAATAAACCTACCATTTTAAACATTTGTTTACCTCCAGTGAATGTTCCATTCGCATAAACATTTTAACATCACAATAAATCACGTCCGCTCACACTGCATCGGCGCATTTTCATAATTTCAACGCAAATATAATGCGAAACATGTGATAAACATGTAAGAATTTGCGTGCGCGCCGACCTAGGAGACATAAAACTTCAATTATATCGGCATGTTGTAAGTTGTAAGTTGCACACGCAAACGCACAGTGTGTGCGTAATTGAATTTACTCGTATGTTATTAACATCGGCGCCAGGCGGTATTGCACAATTGCGAAATTGAATTAAACAAAGGGAATGCCCGCTGGAATATGTTAATGATAATATATATCCTCGTAATTATCAAAACTCACTAATTTCAGATGTGTGCAATGAATAGAAAATACAAATATAATTCAATTGTTTTGTTTTGTTTCTTGGTCAATTACGAATGATTGCCTAATCTTTAATGTCCTGAAACCATTCCAGTGTGTGTATGTTTGTGTGTAATCAAACAATGAGGAGTAAAATTGAAACTAATGATTCGACACTAATTGAGGCTACATATACGTAGATAATTACGGTGAATTACTGTGAAGCCAACAATAGGCGTGTTCTAATTGTTTTAGAATCATTTTTAAATCGTATATTTTATGTAATCAGCTATTATTTATCAAATTTAATATTAATTTAGTGTTTTTTATGCTTAAAACTAATAATTTTAAAATTAATTTATTGTCTAGGCAGTAAAAATGCTATTTAAATGCAAAATTTAATAAAATTTAATTTTTAAACCCGAAAAAATTAATTTAAAAATATTACTCACCGTGATGGTAACTCATATTTGCTTTGTCTAAATCCGCAAACGAAACAGACGGCATAGAAACTCAAAAATAATAACTTGATGCAAAAATAATCCTTTTATTAATCCTGGTGTTGATTTTTTTTCTTCAATTAAAAAATAATTTAATTTATTTTTCTTTGAATTTTGATTCTTGCTCACATTATTATCACGTGCAAAATTAAATTGTGTTATAATAAAAATGATGAAAATATAATAAATAAATTTTGCACGATGTTGCACGTTTTGCAGCCGCGACACTTTTGAATGGCGTGCGCGCAGAGTAGTGGTTAATGTACCCGGTTACCCGCAGCCAAAGGCAAATAATCCATTAGGTGCCATTACCAATACTGAATACGACCCACCCGTCTTAAAACACACATCCAACAACATTGTTACATCTATATCTATATCCAACCCATTCAAGTGTGCTTTAAATCGCATTCAATTTAATTAATGTGACTCTAGGCATGAGTATGTGAGAGGTAACGAAGTGGAAGGGGATTTAATATAAGATTCGAGATTCAAACATTGGAATAAATCGAGAATCGCAATGAAATTAAATGAATGGTTGTGGAGTAGGTAAATATTGAGTAGGATTGCTTACGGTTTAGTTTGAATGCGATTTTTTTCGAGTTTCGGTTTAGATTTGAAATTAGCATGTCTGAATCATCGTTTTTGTTTAAATTACGGTTAAATTTCAATGTTGAGATTTGTTTGGTGTAGGTAATATTATATTGTTTGTTTAACTCTATTCAGTAAAACAAAAACAATTACTATATCTTTTGTAGCTTAAAAGATATAATGAATTTTACAACTTAAAAATTATTGCCGTTAATAATTTCAAAATTAATGTCGTTTGAACATTTATAGTTCAATCCGCAAATGACGTCATCGCAAATAATAGCTTATTTTATGTGCACGGTGCTATAAACCAGTAGATATTACCGTTATATTACCTCGTTTGTCCCACTCGTAGGAAAACCGCACGTGCAAAAATTACACGATCAATTTGAGGTTAGCGAAAGTTTTTAGAAGTTTTATAGTTCATAATGTGGGTTATTAATCACAGCGTTGTGGGTTATTTGTTTATATTGCCGCGGAAATACGGAATAAAATATCATTTAATGTATAAATCGAATACTGTACTTTATTAATCTAAGATTTTATCATCATTTTTACTGCAAATATCATTAATTAATTAAAAATTTCATTTGAAAGTCTCAAATTAAAAAGTATGATGCAATATCTCTATATCTATAAAATATATAGGTATAATCGGAGGCCTAATTAAAAAATGCATTGATTTTGAAAATTCGTTTAATATCAAAATTGAATTAAGTTTAGTAAATGGTAAGTTTAAGATGATCTTTTTGAAAAAAATTACGAAAATTCCCGGAAAACTAATAAGTGAATAACGTATAGTATTTAAGTCGAGTAAAATATGAGTATTATTTGATTTATATATAAACTAGCTTCTGCCCGCGACTTTGTCCCAATAGTATTTAATAAAAATGTAATTCGTTTTTACTCTCTTCTTCTAGACATGGTATGTGTCAATTCTATCAATAAGATTCGCAATTTTATTTTAAAGAAATTAATTATATAAGGAATTGCTAATAATTCACTTTAGCGCGCCATCTCTGATTCAACTATTTAACTATAACTATGATTGAATCTCAATGCCAACTTTTATCCTATAGAAAAGGACTGTCTTTAGGGTTTTCCCGGCAATTATTCGATTTTTTCTCGCCATAAAAACCATCCTTGGACTTTAACGAACATTAAAAAAAAGAATTGGCCAAATTGGTCTTCGCGTTGTTGAATTATGCGCTTACCAACATATTTTGCAATTCATTTTTATATTACGGATTTAAATATTTTTTCCAATCCAATTTATACAATTAAAAAATCTTTTTTTCAAATTCTTTATTTGAAATTCATTCATTCTCATTCGATTATTCATTCATAATAGCGATATAATTAATACCAATCTAATTTCGTATAATATTTATTCAAGATGTTAATCTACAACGCGATATCTTTAGACATATGTAATTAATATTCATCGCCAGTTAACCGGGCACCCAGGCGAAACGGCTATTATAGCAAACAAATAGTGCTACTTTAGCAATACCTACCAGCACATACCAATCATACCTTCATAAAAGAATACATAGTTAGTAATAAATGAACTTGAACTCGCCGCGCGACGTAATATTCGTCAAAATCACGTAACTCCACACACACACACATTCACAACCAGCCTGCTTTTGTTTATGGACGAATCGTGGGTGCGTCCACAATCTCCACCCCCGACTTTTCGAAATAATGCGGAATTGGAATACATTAACGAAATCTGAATCCGACATGTGCCGTTCGAGAAAAACAACAAAAACACAAATTAATGCCACAGGCAAATATAAAACATATTCGTATAATGTAGTTTTGATGCGGGCGGGAAATTATCACATTCAAATGTTACAATATACAAATTCCCAGCGAATTAAAATCCAATTAGAATATTTGTTGTGACGATGACTAATGCAATGCATTGAATTGCACGTGGAATTGCGATGTAGCATTTCATCATGACGATGGATGCAAATTAAGATTATTGCTAATAAGTAAATAAATAAACAAGCAGACAGCGTGGCAAATAAATAAAGTTTATAAATGCCGGAAATGCTACTCGTTTCGGCAATCATCCGTAATTTATTGTGGATTAAATTAATATTGCTAGTAAATAAACAAATAAATAAAATGTTTAACATATGGAGGTATAAAGATATTATGAATGTTATTATGAATGTCAAACTCGTAAATTTGATCTAATCTCGAGTTGACTGGTGTGTGATTTTGTATTTATAATTTGCATAATATTATGATAGATTTTATCTTGGAATTAAATCCGGAGTGATGTAGAATTTAAGTTGTGGGTGACAAAATTTAACATAAAAATATACTACTTGAAAAGTATTAAGAATTAATTTAAAATTGGGCAAAATATGAAAGATAAGAATAGTAGAGTGTTTACTAATCCAGGAATTCTAAGAAAAATGATAAACAATTTAGTCATAGGGTTAAATGTGTAGAAAAGTAAAAAACGTAGAATAAAACGTGGTTTGACGTAAAAATTATCAAAATTACATATAATCTATAATAAAAAAATGAATCGCAAAATCTGTTGGTAAGCGCATAACTCATCAATGCCTAAACCAATTTGGCCAATTCTTTTTTTGAAATGTTTGTTAAAGTCGAAGAGTGGTTTTAATAACGAGAAAAAATCGAATAATTTCCGAGAAAACCCTAAAGACAGCCCTTTTCTATAGAATAAAAGTTGGCATTGAGATTCAATCATAGTTATAGTTAAATAGTTGAATCCGAGATGGCGCGCTGAAGTGCATTATTAGCAATTCTTTATATAATTAATTTCTTTCAAATAAAATTGAGAATCTTATTGATAGAATTGACACATACCTACTATGTCTTGAACAAGAGAATAAAAACGAATTACATTTTTATTCATCACTACCGGAACGAAGTCGCGGCCTAAAGCTAGTTATGAAATAAAACAGAACCAGATAAAGTTAATCAACTGTATTTCATGGCTAGGCAGTGAAATACAATTTCAAAGTCAATTTTCAAATTTTAATAAAAAGTTCTTTTTGTTTCAATGAGTTTTTGAAAAAAAAATTATTTGTTGTCTAGAAAATTCAAATCCCAACAAAAAATTTTAAATTTCCATGCTAATTTCTTCAAAAAATAAGCTGAAAATATTTTTTTCTACTGGAAATTGATGCTAAGTTAATACACCTACACATTTTCTACAAATCAACCGATAAAAACAAATTCCTCACAAATTCCTACACGCAATATATATTTTTGATGTATTTCTTTTAAATTGAATTAAATGTTGATGGCATTCGCGTGCGTCTACGAGAATTAATCGAATTAAACACGTAAATATCCTGAACGCCCACGCGTGATGTGTGGTCTCAGATCTCATCAAAAACTCATTCGCAAAACCCGTAAAACACAGTATTTTTCTTGACATTCACACTTACGCAAAACTCTTAATTTGCGCTGCGCGTGTAGCCATTAAAACGAAAACTGCGCGCAGAAAATTAACTACAAACATTCACAGATCAGCACAGATCAATGGTTAAATCGCTGTAAAATGCAAATTTTAATTATTCCAACACCATACTACACTACTACGTAAACAATAGATACAATAGATTTTAGCGTGGAACATTAAAAACTAAACGGTTGAATAATAGGCACTCGTTGAAACAAGAAGGAAGAGTTTAGTTACGTTCGATTACGTTTGATTGCGTAATGTAAAAGATGAAGTAATTCGCACCGCCAAAACGTAAACCTCAAACTATTAATTATAAACGTATTCGTTTGATGACTAACCTGTCTAATAACAATAGAATTTGTGTAAAATATAAATTAAATTTGCGTTAAAATAGAAACAGATTTAATTCATAATATTACTTGATTTGTAGTTAAAATTTTAGTTGTATTTCACTATAGAATATATTTTAAACTAAAATAATTTTCAAAAAGTGAAATTTATAAATGAAATGTTACCAATATTCGATGAGTGTAGATATGACTCATCATAAACAAACGAAGGCCCCTTCGTATATTGGGGACCGAGAGTAAGGTTTGTGGTGAGTGCGCACATC